CACTTCTTCAGAATGCTTGACTCCTCTGGCGCCAGCCTTGCTCCCGGGTCACACGAATGCTTGACATTATTGGCGAGAAAAAAAGGGAAAAAAACCGGATGCCGACCGCTCTACAGAGTATTTTAACAGGGCGTAGGCTGACATCTCATCTCATCGTAACTGACGAGGATCGTGAGCATGAACAGGTCGACACACAGTACATCCGTCGGCTGAAGTACCTGCATGGCCTTTGCCGTGCATTAATGGCAGAAATTCTCATGCGTCTGCACCGCTACATGCTGCACGTACATGCACGGCAACTTCCTTCTGCTGCTGCGGTGCTGCTAAACGATGCACGAACAGTGCCGCTTAGCTAAGCTGGATTTTCAAAATATATTTTAGCTCTTTTTCAAAAACTTATTCCATACATAAATCTTTAGAAAAACTTATCGAAGGAATCCACTCTTTTTCTCGGTGCCAAGGTTCAATATCTCGGTGCCAATGACACGGACACCAACACCCTCGTATCCCGTGATAGTTAAGTCGCTGACATCAAGAAAATCGGCGTAAAAAAACTAAACGCTAAAGATTTGTAAAATATCTTTTTTAGAAAAAGAATTAAAATTATAACTATTGTACTTTTTTTTTCTTATAAATCGGTGCCATCCTGATTTGAACCACTATGCGACGAGAATGTGTGGTGGAGTTAATGCGCGCCTCATCGTCATCGTCCGGCGCAGCATCCGCTGGGCGCCCGGCGGCCGCCGACTTCTTGCATTCAGTCGGTCACCGGCTGAGGCCACGCACGTCGCACTACTGTTTCCACGCCTGCCTGAATACCTGATGATGATGCGCACGCCGATGGGGAGGCAGAATCGGAGGAGAAGTACAACCAGATCACCTGGGCATCGCGGTACCGTACGTATATGTACGTTCCCCGGCCACCGGCCAGAACACCGGCGACTGCAGGGTGCACTCATCAGTCATCAAAAATCAAAATGGATCGACGCACCAATTAAACACGTACCGATCGAGCAGAGATCCCACATGAAGTTGTCCTGTACGTATAATTGTGTCTGTTTATTTACTAGTGTCGAAAAAATAGAGTCAATATAAAAATAGCTGAAATTTAAAATTTTAAAAAAAATATTGAAAGAAGAGGCAATAGTCCATATAAAAATTTAGTAAAAGTTAGAATATTTTTTTAAAAAAGCTAAAAGTAGAGCTTAGAGTACAAATAGAAATACAATTAAGAAAGAACTAAAATTTAAAAAAAAAGATTGACACGAGAGTCTAGAGTACCTATTGGAATATAATTTAGAAATAATTGGAATTCAAAATTAAACGATAAGAAATATTGAAAGAAGAGGGTAGAGTTCATATAGAAATACAATTTGCAAATAACAGAAATTCGAAATTAAAAAACAAAAAATATTAGAAGAGTAGTCTAGAGTCCGTACAGATACGATTTAGAAATAACTAAAATTCAGAGTTTAAAAATAAACAATATTAAAATAAAGGTTTAGAGTCTATATAGGAATAAAATCTATTATATTATTAAAAGAATAGAAAAAGGAGCCTCCACGTTTTCGCTCTCATGGCCTAGAAATTCTCACATTACTCGGAGAAAAAGAAAAAGCAGAGTCCATATAGAAATACAATTTAGAAATAGCTGAAATTCGGAATTAAAAAATAAGGAATATTAGAAGAGGAGACTAGAGTCCATATAGAAATACAATTAGGAAATAACTGAAATTCGGAATTAAAAAATAAGGAGTATTAGAAGAGGAGACTAGAGTCCATATAGAAATACAATTAGGAAATAACTGAAATTCGGAATTAAAAATAAGAATATTAGAAGTAGAGTATGGAGTCCAGGTTAGAAATACAATTAGGAAGTAATAGAAATTTGGAATTAAAAATAAGTAATATTAGAAGTAGAATATAGAGTCCATATAGAAATACAATTAAGAAAAAAAATTAGAAATTCAGAATTAAAAAACAAGGAATATTAGAAGTAGAGTATAAAGTCCATATAGGAATTTAAAACTAATTAAAATTTGGAATAAACATAATAAAATTAAAAGTAGAGTTTAGAGTCCATATAAAAATACAATTTACAAATAAATAAAATTCGAAATTAAGAAAAACATGGGAGGAAGAGTTTAAAGTCAATATAGGAATACAATTTAGAAGTAACTGAAATTCGAAATTAAAAATTAAAGAATATTGAAAGATGAGTTTAGAGTCCACATAGAAATACAATTAGAAATAATAAAAATTCAGAAATAAAAATAAATAATATTGGAAGAAGAGTATAGAGTCTATATAGAAATATAATTTACAAAAAAACTCGGAATTAAAAAAAAAGAAATATTAAAAGACGAGTCTAGAGTCCATATAGGAATATTTATAATTTACAAAGAACTAAAATTTGGTATTAAAAATAATTAATAACTAACACGTATATAAAATACAATATGAATATTACACATTAGTAGTTTTATAAAGTTATTGCAAAATTTAAAATTATGTTGTCATTTTAATATATTTGAATAATATAATGAGAAAACAAATATGCTATTATATGAGAGAAAATATAATGATGCTAGCCGCACAATTTGCGTGGGACACCATGCTAGTTTATAAATAAAGGAACTTTGAAATTTAAAAATAAGGAATATTAGAGAACTTTAAAATTTAAAAAAAATATTGGAAGAGAAGTCTAGAGTCCATATAGAAATACAATTTAGAAATAACTAAAATTCAGAATTAAAAATAATTATAACCATCACGTATATACAATACAATATGAATATTACTTATTGGTTAGTTTGGTCAAGTTCATGTAGAATTTAAATTATGTTTCCATTTTAATATATTTTTATAATAAAATGTGAAAAATATATATGTTATTATATAAGAAAAAAAGATACTAGCCGCGTAATCTACGCCGGCCACCATAAAGTTAAAGTAATATATATGGGGCTGAGGGGAGGGAGAAATCTTAAAAATCAGTATTAATTCCATACTGTTTCGTTATAAAAACGGACGAATCATATATACATGTCTAGGGTGGATGGAGAGGCCGATAGTCATTTGGTTCCACTGAAGAAAATGAAGCTATTGTGTTAGGAGCGGATTATACATCACGCCTTGATTAAGCATAGTAGTAGTAATAATTAAGTAGCGGCAAGTACGGCCAACTGCTGTCGGCGCCGGCGCGTGATGAGGGATCGATGGATGACCCGTCCGTGTACAAGCCGTTCGACGTACACATCCGGCGTAATTACCTTAGCTAAACATCTTGACCAACCACGTAATCACTAGCTTTTCCCTACCACAGAAAAAAAAACTCATAATCCTGATTGTACGATCTACCGATTTAATTACATCTGCAATCAAACAGAACATGGATAAATGACCAAATAATGAGTACATTTATATATGATCTCTATTGGTGTTAGTAGGAGTATTTTACTACTCGTATTATTATCAATCAAAGATATCTAGGCGGTTTATTTATGAGTTATATTGATATGATCCACTAGACTAGCTAGAAAAGATGAACAATTTGAATCGATTTCTACTATCCATAAACTCCATTGAATATCTAGAAAAATAAATCATTTGGGGAGATAAAGATTCGCCATGTCTGTTGCTGAAGAGCAAGAAAAAGGTCCACTCATGAACATGAAGAAACCATTGGCCGTAGACCACACCGAGCTGGCCATGGACCCATGGTGGTAATGTGCCGGTGTACGTGGCCGTAGTCCACAGTGAACTTGGTCCATGGCACCATGCAGTTTTTTTTTTTTGGCAGGGACGGTGTGTGCTGTAAAGATCACCCAGCCTTTTTTGACCATTTGAGTATGGTGATGACCTGTGTAAGATTTGTATGGGAAAAGGTGGTTTGTCATGGCTAGGTGATGAGCATCTTTGGCCCCTCTCCTCTCCTCTGCCACCCTGCCAAATCCTACTGCATCTTTGATTCATCCATCTGTGACTGTGTGTGACTCTCTCTCTCTCTGTGTACAGCACCAGGAGATGTTTCTTCTTAGATAATGATAAAAACTGGGGACAATCCACTCATAAATTAACCAACAGGGACAGTACTGCTATACAGTTCGGGCAAGGACATGCTTTGTGTTTTATTTCCATGGAAGGACACGTAAAACCATGTGCAATTAACTCGTGTTAATTACTAACCCATATGGGTTAAGGACGCTTCTTTGGTGTGAAGATCATAAATGGCCAGGTCATGTCATGTGCCGTTGTGTTTCTTTTTTTTTTTTCAGAAGTTGGATTTGGATTTTAAACCTGTGGTGAGCAAAAAGGAAATGGAAAGTTTTTGTCAGGCGCACCGAAGCACAAAGGTTGGCATAGAATCTCTCTGAGCTTTGGACTGGCTATCTCTCTGGTGTAGTAAGATCAACAGCATCATGTAGTAATTGGAAGCATGGCACGATCAGGACAAGCATGTGGGAGGAAGTAATAAATTACTAATGCTAGTAATATATTCCCTAATTTATTTGGGGTTAGACACTGTATACTCCTCCTTTAACCCTTGTTTTATTGTCTCAAAGAGCATCCAAAAAGCTCATCAAGGGGGAAAAAGTTCCTAAGCCTAGAAAGTGACTCAAATGCCCATGTTCTTTTACCACTAAGCTAGTAGCCATATCAGCGCTGTCAGAGCTGTCCTTGCTTTCTAAACACTGTAACAGCATATTTACCGAGTTGATTAATCTGCAGATTACAAGTCAACTGTTCCCCTGAACCTTGGCTGCCATGATGTCATTGTGCCTTTACTGATCATGCTTTACACTGCACGTCTGGTGGCTAAACAAGCATCTTAAGCAAGGACACAAACAGAGGACTTTGTTTATTGCTATGGCTTAATCTTTCTAGGTCTTGTGTGACCTCTGAGAATCTATCTTGCACGATAAGGTCATAGCATAATAATAATAATTAGTCCACCATAAACAATTTTAAGCATCTGGAATAGTACTTGCCAAATTGTGTTATGAAGAAGAAGTTGTGGTATTATAGACTTTTAGTTAATCTATATTCACAATCTATATGCATTGCCATGTTCTTCAGAGTTCAGACACTCCCAATTTTCACAGCTACTAGCTCTTCTCTCCAGTGACCAAGAACTGATGCATCATCATAATACACATATGGAAAAAAATTGAGAAAAAAAATGAAGAGAAAAAAAAGGGGCAAGAATGCAGGGATGAAAGAACCACATCTCTGCATTTGCTGCTACTCCTATGTACAATCAGTATGAAACGAGCTTCAAGAACACATCCGGGGAAGTGATCTTGAAGCAGCGCGGCGGCCGGCGGCGGCGCCGCCGCCGCCTCCGGTGGCTCTCCTCGCCGCCTTCATCTTGCTCATCTGCGTCTTCATCCGGCTGCACACCTTCTCGAGCTCCATCACCCGCCAGTGCATCCCGTCGAGGAGCGACCTGAGATTCTGGCTCTCCAGCGACAGGTCGAGCCTCCCGGCGTACAGGACGACCTGGCCGCCGGCGGCGACGAGGTCGTCGTGGTCCTCGCCGCCGGCGCGGTGCTTCGCCGCGGACACCGGCCTCAGGTGTTCGTCCGGGCCGCCGCCGCGGAGGAGGCTCTTGAGCACCGTGTGCTGCGACGCCAGCGCCTGCACCGCCGCCCTCGTCGGGAATCCGGCGTTCCGGGCGAGGTGCTTGCAGCACTCCGGCGAGAGCTTCTCGTAGTTTATCCCCTTGCAGATCCTCATCTTCTCCTCCTCCGTCAGCCGCGTGTGAACCTGCCATGATCGACCAAAACAAAACCCATTAGCTTTCAGCTAGTAGAGCAATTAATTAGGAAAAAAACTCAAGCTAATTTAGCATCTTAATCAGCAGGATTAACAGCACTGACAGTGACAAAAGTGCCAAAATCTTAAGCGTCCAGGACAATGACCAACTTTTTTTTTTTCTTGAGACAACTCGATCGTTTCAGGCTTCAGAGAACATTCAGAAGCCGATGATGCATAGGATTCAGAGGAGGTAGGAGTAGCAATAAAACGCACTAGTAGCAATTAATGCGAGGGTGAGTCTGTGAAATGCTGACAAAATCAAGAACAGTGCTCGCTGTCGAGGCTAGGCGGCACCAAAGATCTGAGTAATTTACCTGGAAGTAGACGTCGATGGCGCGGTAAAGCGCGTCGTGGCAGTCCCTCGCCGCGGCGGGCAGCGCCGTGGCGAGCTCGACGAACATGGCCGGGCGCAGCGACGGGTCCGGGGCGACCTCGGCGAGGTACAGGTCGACGAGCTTGCCCACCTTCTTCAGCCTCGGCGTCTCGCCGCGCGCGCCGGTGGCGGCGGCGTGGTGGAGGAAGGCGTCCAGGAAGCGGAGGACGAGGGTGACGTCGTACAGGCTGCTCGTCGTCCCGGGCGGCGCCGGGACGAGCAGGTTGTCGAGCGTCGCGTGGTCGAGCTTGGCGCCGATCATGGCGACGAGGCTGTCGTGGCAGGAGGTGGGGAGCTTGAGCGGTGAGGAGATGCGGAGGATGCCGAAGAGGCCCCTGCAGGAGACCGAGCTCCGGTCGAGGCCGGACATGGCGGCGATCGCCGCCTCGAGCATCGCCCTCTTGTCGTCGGCGGTGGCGGCGCCGGCGACGCGGCACTTGAGGTAGTAGAAGAGGAACCGGGAGACGACGCCGTGGTCGGTGCCCCTGGCGAGGAGCGCCCCGGCGACGCGCTCCACCATGCCGGGGCCGAGGACGACGGCGAGGTCCTCGAACCACCAGGTGCGGCTGGTGCACCGCGCGCTGAGGCAGCTGCTCTTGGTGTCGCACGAGAACCGGAACGCCGAGCTCTCCGGCGAGGAGCTCGTCGGGGTGGCGTCCCCGGGGGAGACGGCCACGTGGGACACCAGCGCGCCGACGACCCGGTCGAACACCCCCGTGGCGTCCGCCGTCGGCAGCAGCCGCTGGCACTGCCTCACGGCGTCCACCACGCTCTGCCACGACCACTGCGGCATCTCGTCGAGAGCCTTCTCCGTCATCTTCACCAGGCTCGGCGGTGTCGACACCTCCGCCGCCGCCGCCGCCATGTCCATGAACTCAGCCGCGCACCGCAGCGCGCACGCGTTCGACGCGGTCACCGCGACGCCGCCGCCGCCGCCGCCGGTGTAACAGAACCTCGCGACGAGCTCGAATGCCTCAGCACCGCCAGGGAACCCACGCAACACGACCCTCGCCGCCGCCGCAGCTCCGACCACCCCCTCGCCGCCGGCGCCGCCGCCACCCAAATTCTTGATCCTACCACAGAACGGTGCAAGAACCTCCTGCCAAAATTCACCAAAACCACGAAAACAAAACACAATTCAGGACAAAGAAACCAAACAATTTACTCGTACAAGAATCAAAGAACACACCAGCCTAATCTAACCCATCCAATTGACTCCCAAAATCAATGCGAAACGTCAGAAGGAACATGCGGTTTATGCTCTTAAATGAGGAGGTAAGCTGGTGGCCATTGCCATGCAGCCCACCAAACGCCATTAAAGGCCTCGCACTCACTGACAGAGGCGAAGCAGATGAGCTGTAGCTATTAGGCCATTAACTCCGGGGAAGAAGAGGAAGAGGAAGAAGAAGAGGAAATTGGAATGGAACATTATTTTACTCGCCTAATTGCTGCGAGCTCTCGCCATTGGAGGAAGGAGATGAACCAAAACGAACAAGAAACCGTAGCAGCAGCAGCAGCAACACTCACACTAGTACTCCTGCGCCATTAAGGAGGAAGAAGAAGAAGAGATCAAGAATGGCTAGGCTTGGCGAGCTGGCTGCTCATTGATGGCGATGGCGAAATGGAACCCACACCGCACTTAAATGGAAGATCGCGACGTCTTCCTCCTCATCTAATCTCTGAACTCGCAGTAAAAAATGTAGAAAAAAAATATTCAGAAGCAGCTGGGGGTATTAACAGCAGAATTACAGGGAGAAATTCAGATTAACCGATGCAATTAAGGCGATGATGATGAGGATTCAATTCCAACAGCGTGTGTACAACCTGACAGGCTTGCATTCGCACGAACCTGTCCCACTCCCACAGGAGAGACAGGCTACAGCTCAAGAACAAAATTACAGCAAGAACAAGCGATGAGGCGACAGACAATGCGAGCATTTTATAGACCAAGAAGAAGCAAATCGTAACTACGAATTCGAGGTTGGTACATGAAACAAGCAGGATGTGACAAGCCGCACGAAATCCAAAATCCGACGACTAGGGATCAAGGAGAGAACAGCACAAGGGGATAAAAGCAAAGAATGGAAGAGACCAAAATTGGGAAGGAGATCGCGAGGTAATGCCAAAAAAATTTGGGGACTACCTGAAACAGTTTTGGACAGAGGAAACAACAAATGCTAGGAATTGAAACAGGCTCAATTCCAGCAGGATGTGACACACTTCCTCACTCATCCCCAAGAACTTGGTGGTGAAACACTAGAGACCAGAAGCTAGAGTACAGAACAATAATCCCCAGACGACAGAGGCAAGCTGTCAACCTAAGAAAGGAAAAACCAACAACAAGAACATCACCATCGTCACCAATTCATCATCTTAGGATGAGAAGCAGCAGAACAGAGCAAGAAAAGAAGAGACCTTAGGAAGAACTGCAAGAAGAAGATTTGTTGCTACCAAGAAGGAAGAAGAACTGCAAGAAGGGAAAGGAAAGGAGGAAGAACCTTATCAACGAGGAAGACCTCTTCACCATCCACATCAACCTCAAGAACACAGCCCATCGTCCTCTTTTTGTTGCCACACACCACAGCAGCACACCACAAAACAACCAGCTTTAAAGCAACATGGCAAAGAAGAAGGAAAAGGCTGCAATGATGGGGATGGAAGCAGTAACACACACAAAGGGATAGATGGATGGCACCACCCCCAACCCCAAACCTCCTCACTCACAGAGAGAAAAGCCCAAGCTTCCAAATGGCTAAATGCTCAACAATGGCAGCTGCTCTGGCTCTGATGAGTGGTCAATGGCTTGCAATGTGAGAGAGAGAGAGATGGAGGAGAGGGGCCAGCCAAAGAAGTTGGTGGATCCTGAGCTCTACTGACAGCCTCTGCCACCCTGCAAGTGGAGAGTTTGCAGGGAGAGAGCTTTGGGGAATATGTAAGGCTGGGTTCTTGATTTCTCCCTGCCCTTTACCCACCTTGCACATTGCATATTTGTGCAATGTGCCTGGGTACTATTCACAGTCAAGAAATGGGCAACAGAAGAGGGGAATTTTCTTTTCTTATAGGGGAGGTGTAGGTTTTGTGTAGAGACAGAAAAAAAAAATGCTTCGCTTGTGCTGAGCATCTGAGTTGGTCATTTCCATGTGACACTCGGATACCTGATTCTCTGATGTGAGATAATCTTTGCATCAACTGGGGCAAATCTATATGTTTCGCGTGAAGAAACAGTGCACTCATTCTGTTGCCCTGGATGAATTTGCACCGAGTATTCATAAAATTATTATTTTTAGACTGGTCACCGGAGGAGCTTTCCAACCTGAATTTCGGCCCTGTTTAGATCCGCCAGTTTTGCCATTTTGAAGCACTTTTTACCATTTTGAATCTAAACACTAATAACAAAACTTGACAATTTGACATTTGCTAGTCCATAGTGGTAAATTGTGCCAAAAAGTGCTTTGGGACCACTCCCTCTCTCTTTCTCTCTCTCACTTTAGTGCTAGAATGGCAAAAGTTTAGGAAACATCTAAACACCAACTAGTAATTTTGTAATACCAAAACTTTTACCATTTACCATTTGTCATTCCAAATGGATCTAAATAGGCCCTTCATTAAAAGGAGAAACAGTACAATGGTTTAGTTCGTTACATTGGAATGCAAAAGGAGGAAAGAATTTCTTTCCAGGATTCTACTACTATCATGATGTTTTTCCAGTATTTATAAAATTATAAACACAATATATGGTCTCCTGATGTTTTTTTTAGAAAAAAAAACACAAAAAGACTAGATCAACATATCTTAAAATTTATAAAATCATCACAGATGTCTCGTTATTGATAAGTATGATACGTACCAAAAAAAAAATAATTAATATCATCATAAGAATCCTATATCCGTTTAACCGTTAAGTTACGCTTATTTCACGGTCTCTTGATGTTTTGACATTTCTTTAGGAGCAAATAATTGTTTACAAACGGATAATAAATGTTTGTTTTCAGCTTTACAAGACTGACGGAATGACACGCCTTAAGACGGCATTTTGATATGTAAATGAAAAGAACTACTACTCCAGTATCATATAGTCGGCCGGTTTGGTGTGCAAACTACTACTACTACTCGTCAAGATGCCCTTTGTAGGATCAAATCATTATGTCATGTGGTTGTTAAGCTAGGCTTCATGCACCGATTTGCATGAATGGATAAGAGAGATTTTTGTTGGATCAAATCCTCGTATAAATTAAGCTAGCTTTCTTGCCAAGATTCGCATGAAAGGAGCAGGGGAGATCTTTTATAGGATCAAATCCTCGTATAAATTAAGCAAGGTTTCTTGCCAAGATTCGTAAAGTATGAAATGAGGAAGAATGGAACTTTATGCCCGGAATTTTGGGACCATTTATTTAGCGCTTCATTTGAATATTCAATTATTTATTAGTCACTTTTTTTTAACTCATCCATTCACCGCACTTTAATTTCGGTAGGGGGGAACAAATAATGTTTTAACTTCGAGTACACAATGTACACTTTGCTTAATCCGCACCACATGGAATACAATTTCTAATTTGGGAAAACACTACAGTATAATACACCATTTTTTCAACAGGATGTCTATAATATATATTGCATACACTTTATCCTCGGTTCCAATTTTTCTCCACTCTCTGACTTTCCTTGACTCTCTGAGGCTACTATTCCTCATGAAAGATAGTGCAATGTTCAAGTGCACACAGAGAGCAAAAATTAGGGCCTGTTTAGTTGGCAAATTTTGCCCTGGCATATCACATCGTATATACGGGCACACATTTGAAATATTAAACGTAGTCTAATAACAAAACAAATTACAGATTTTGTCAGAAAATTGCGAGAAGAATTTATTAAGCCTAGTTAATCTATCATTAGCAAATATTTACTGTAGCACAACATTGTCAAATCATGGCGCAATTAGACTTAAAAGATTCATCTCGCAATTTCCTGGTGAACTCTGTAATTGTTTTTTTTTCTAAATTTAATACTCCATGTATTTATCCAAACATTCGATGTGACAGTGTGAAAAATTTTGTTTGGAACTAAACAAGTCCTAAGTAAGTACACAAGATGATATGTTGACGAAATAACTAGTGCGTGAACGTTTACGCGTCTGGGCCGTGCGCGAATACCCGTGTTTTTCTTTTTTATCATCCATGTGACTTCTTTTTTTTTTTGGAAATTTTAAAAATGATATGAACTGTAAATTTATTTCATGTTTATGTTAGAGTAATTTATTAGAAAGAATGGGTTTTGTTTGCAGTAAGTAACAATGATAATGACGAGAAATTGAGAACTATTGAATTGCCATCCAAGGTACGAAAAAAGTGGCTTTTTTTTTTTGAAAATTTCAGCCGCCTTTGATTTCTAGACATCCCAATTTCTTATCCCAGACACTTAAAAATCGATACACGATGATCCTGAAACGCCTGTAAACACTGACAAAAGCCCACGAAAGCTTCACAAAACACCGAGGACACACACGTGCTACATTATTAACAATTTGAAACAACAACCGTTATTATCCATGGTGTTAGCTCCAAAAAGATCATTGACCATACCCTGGCCTCAACAAAGGAAGCCCATACTCTGCCTTGAAATAGTGTCGAGGCAGATGGTCTGCCGGTCTGCTCTCTCTGCTTTACATTTTGACAGCGTCTCGTCTACCTCCAGAGGATCCGAACCCCCGAAGAAAAAAAAAAGGAAAAAGAAGAGTATCTAGCTACTATTTGCCCTGTCAACCATCCTGCCAGATGGCCACAGAGAAGAAAAGAACTGGCGATCCTTGCTGGATCGCTCCTGCCACTGTACCACAGTCGGTAGGAATAAGTTTACTTTAGGTCCTTCAATTTGTTCTCGAGTCTAAAATTTATCGTAGAATCATAATACTGTACACTCTCTCCGTTTCAGATTACAAGATGTTTTGACTTTGGTCAAAGTCAATCTGCTTAAAGTTTGACTAAGTTTATAGACAAATATAGTAATATTTACATTACCAAATTAGTTTTATTAAATTAATAATTAAATATATTTTTATAATAAGTTTATCTTGGGTAAAAAAATATTATTATTTTTTTCTATAAACTTGGTCAAACATTAAACAGTTTGACTTTGACCAAAATCAAAATATCTTATAACCTGAAACGGAGGGAGTATGATGCATTCCTTAACTCTCAAAACCAATGCAAATAAAGTCCTAAGACAGTTTGGACAGTTGGTTCGGCTTACGTGATGCCTACGTGGCACTTAAGTCGAAAAAACCGTGAGACCAACATATCAACAGCCAACCCATCTTCCTCCTCCTCTCTCTCCTCCCTATCTCTCTCCAGGCCAGGAACAGGTTGCGGGCGACAAGCGACGGCGGACGGAAGGCGGACGGTGGGCAACAGGAAGAGGTGTGGTGGCTATGGTGGGTTGGAAGGGTCGTAGCCATCACAGGGTTGGAAATTCTGGAACGAAATTTCAGAAATTTCGGACCACTTCGATACGATATTATTTCAGTCGAAATTTTTTAATTTTTTAATTTTCCGTGTGTTTTGGTAATATTTGTTCAAATTCAACTAAAATTTGTTCAAAATTTCGGAAATTTCGTTGAGGTCCGATCAAATCGGCTAAACGGAAATGTTTAACCCTGGGCCATCATCCTCTTTCCTTCTCTTGTTCATCTCTTTATAGGCCGGGAGGCGCGTGGCAGAGGCTTGGAGAGAGATAGGGAAGATAGAAGAGAGAGGGGGGAGAGAGAGAGAGAGGAGGAAGATGTGTTGACTGCTGACATATGGGTCCCATGGTTTTTTTTTTGTGACTTAGGTTCCACATCAACGTTACATAGGCGCCATGTCAGTCAAAACTGATGTCTAAATCACCTTAGGACCTTATTTGCACTGATTTGGAAAGTTGATGGATGCATCATATATGGTATTGCGGTTCACCAATGAATTTCAGGCTCAGTGAGGGACCTAAAGTGAACTTATTCCCGACCAGGCCATAGCAATGCGGCGTGACCGACGCAGTTCTATTACTACTACTCGTTGTCACCTCCCCTCCCCTCTTCTCGCACCATGGCGGTGGTCGAGGAGGCCACTGGTGACGAGCTCCATGACCGATGAATGAATCCTGGTGGTGTAGCCGACGAGCTTCTGGTAGACTTGTAGCTGGTGGAGTCTCTCCTCGCGGCTCGCTCGACTGGTGGGGGTGGCGGCAAGTAGAAGGGGTTGGTGGGGGCAATGACGAGGGAATAGCAGCCCTCTTCCTCCTCGGTCTTTGTTGTTGCTTCCGAAGCTCATCGAACAATGCCATTGCCTCCCTTTCTCCAGCCTCCGTGTGCCGCTTCCGTCCATCTTACTTGATACCGTTGAGTCCAGCACCATCGTCATTGAGGTGAATGGCTACGGGGGAAGATAGAAGAGAGAAGAGGGGGAGGGGGGAGTCACCAACATGTGAGCCCCACATGTTGACTCAATCAATTGAACTAAGTCAACGAGTCACATCAGCGAAAACATACTCAGAACCTGAGTAAGTCATTTCGCACCGGTTTCTACTGCTGATGGTTCAGGATATATGTTATTGCGGTTGAGCGATATGTATAAGATTGGACTTATATTAGAGGGAGCCAAAGTGAACTTGTTCCAAAAAAGGGCCCATGAACAATATTGGCCTCTCCTAGTGACAGGCCACAGGCGAGTCGCTCGCTGCGTGGGCCGCCGGTGAAATCCACCCGCAATCCGGTCGCCTCCGATGGGCCGGACTACGCCCGCGTGCTTTCACCTCACGCCGGAAGTTTTGTCCCGTGCGATTTCGATTGCCGCTACACGATCGCTAGTACGCTCCCATACCATCCACCATAGCCAAAAGAGTACGAGTTCTTCAGAGAAGATAACCACTTTTTCTCATCAACCCCAAGCTAGGTCGCTCTCGCTCGATCAACGTCCTCCGAATTCGCGTATCATCCCGTGCTCAATTCGGCCGCAAAACCGTATCGATCACGGCTGGTGCATCCATCCATCCGCCCAATTAATCACTCACGCACGAATATCAGCATATATATGCCA